ATTATGTGCGATTAAATAATTTTACTACATCAAAATATAGAATTTGTTAGAACTTTGTTAGCATACTCTATAAAAATCTGTTGCACAAAAAAAAACCCATAATGTTCATTATTTAAAATTAGTCTAATACAAACCTATTTTAACAAATTTGCCTAACTAATTCTCACAAAATAATATTTAAATTTAGAAATACTGTAATTTCATTATTTTAGATACATATACTTATCGTGAGGTTTAATAATTTTATTACATCAAATAACATGTTTCTTGTTTTTTGAATACAAAATAACATGTTTCTTTTTGTATAAATTTGTTAGAACTTTGTTATCATACATTATATAAGTTTGTGTAGCATAAAAAAATCATATCATTTTCTGTAAATAATTATTTTAAATAATTTTTTTACTTTAAATTAACATTATATTTTTTCATTTTCAACTTCATTAATCTTGGAAATGATCATACATACTAATATTTTCTTACTCAATTTATCTTTATGTTATAATAGCACATAAAACTAATTAGTTAGAGTTATAGTAATACGCAAAACACATGTATATTATCAAACAAATAGAAAATTAAGTATTATACTAGATTTTGACCCGCCCTTAAAGAGGGCGGGACAACCGTTTTTGCTTTATATTTATGCTCTTGTTTGATTATTCACAAGTATGTATAGACATGAGTATCCGGATTCAGATAGATTGTCGTTAATAATTTTGGTTTGGTCCAACATATATAGATTATATACGATTACATACAATTTAATGTGTGGTATAAGATTATGAAATTATGAATTCTATTCGATAATCTAAAGTATTTATTTGTAATAGTTTATATTTTGAGTTCAAACTTATTTTTTATAAAAAATAAATAATTTTAGGGTACTATTATAAACAATTTGGTTGATATTATTTTCATATAAAATAAATAGAGATACAACCGACTGTTTATTTTAAAATTATGGTCATAAAAATTGACATTGTATTATACAGACGGTATGTGTTTAAACATATGATTAACAAAACAATTATATAAGAAAATAACATAAAAATTCAAAATACAACTGCGAATGATTATTGCAAGCCCGTAAATAAATCAATACATCATATTAACCACCCAAGCCCAACACAAATATAGAGACAAAATCTCTTTAATATATCTTGGACATGCGACTACCAAATATCTTTTCAAGAACGGAATATATTTTCTTTATAAATTGATTTATACGAAACAAAGATTTGATAATTATAAAATTACATGTGTTGAAATTTTGCAACTTAATACATTTATAATTGTGTTGAGCAGTATTTTCATACCCGACACAGGTTTGAGATTGAGCAACTAAACTTAGTGATATGTATTCAGTTCGGATTTAACTAATTCACCGCTATTTAAAATTTTGATAAAACTTGGTAAGAATCCAAAATCCATTAGTAACATGTCACCTAGCACTGATTGACCCTTGTATAACTAAGATAAAATTGGTGATCTAAAAAAATTGATCAAAATTTTATATATTTTAAAATGAGTACATGAAATTGAATAGTATATTTGATTTGTGATTCTTTACTAAAGGAAGTACTATGTTGTCTGATAAAGAAAAAAGAGAAAGGCGATAGAGAACACCAAAAATATTTACTCATTTTTCAGTATTACTTAATTTTTATTATTGATAATTTATTACTTGTTTTATTTTTAATTTAGACTTAAATTTTATTATTTATGATCGCTATTATTTACTTGGAAGAAACGTAGAAGAAAAACGTTAGATATGGTTTTATGTATATTAAAAATAGGATGACATATCCATTTCGAACTTTTACATTCAAAAAACATTGTATGCATAAAATTTTAATCACACACACACACACACACACACATATATATATATATATATTGAGAGAATCATAATTTGGTGTATTTTTTTGACCTGTAAAAGATGAACACATTAAAAAATGTTTAATTTATTCCAGTACATATGACAAATGAATTTTTGCCCATAAACTATATAACAAATGAAAATTTTGACCCTTATATATACTAAACTTAAGTTTTATTCATAGTAGAGAACATAATATGACTCATATATATAGTAAAGGAAGTTTAATATATAAAAATAAAAGTATATGCCAAAACATATGGGAAACAATGAGAATTTAGTTTTTTTTTTAATATATAAATAAAGTAATATTGATTAAATACAACTATAGTGAGATATGATAGGAAAAAATAATAATTTGAAATGTATAAACCAAACAATATTTTCTTTCTATTTATTTTAATTTCAAATTAAAAGATAATACTCATTTAGATAAATATGAAAACAATTGAGTTTTGTTATCGTTTTGAAATCTCCGCATGATCCAAGTTATATTCATTTTATTAGATTATATCATTAATATCACCATTTTTATTCTTATATGATTAACATTTGTTTTCATATTTGTTTGGATGCGAATCTCGTCGTAATGAAGAAGATAATTGAAAAGAGGAGAAATATTTTAAATGATGCTATTACGAAGTATTCTTAGTAAGTTATATAGTTGAAGAGATTATCTCACATATTAATTTATTTGTTACATTCTAACAAATGTATATTCTTAAATTCGTTAGTTCTTTATAATAATTTTTTACAAAATATTTTTAAAAGGTTTATAACAATTTAAGTTCTAGGTATTTTATTTTACATATTTATTGTATAAATAAAATGAAAATTCTATTTTATTTTTATTTTTTATTTGATGAACTACTATAAGAACTATATTTCAATTTAAATTTTATGATGCCCTATATATATCTTTTTATTTTACATGTTTGTTTGTTATAAAACGAAAGTCCTACTCCATTACATTACATTTATTTGAAAGATAAGTTATTAGCATAAATGGTGTACATATATAATGTTTGGTTCATGATTTTATAATCTGTTATATAACAGCAAATTACTATTTAACATTAAGTACTTTCGTATTTGCTTATAAAAACTTTTTATATCATTAGGAATATTTACTTTTTACCATATAGTCAAAAAGCAAATTATAAATAAAAATTGCAAATATATTAAGGTAATTAATAAACATGATAGTTCTATAATTATCACCATAATTGGCGACATATAGGAATATTGATTTTGTAGTTTAAATCAATGACATAATATTGTTATTAAAATTAAAATGGAGAGATAATCAAGGCAATATATATTTTTTTGGAAAAGATTTGGTGAAAAAAAATTTGGTGGAAAAATAATTAATAAAAACTATAGGTTTAAATAATGCAGTGGCAAAGATCTGTAAATATTTCCAAAAATCAAGGGGACCTCAAAAAAAGGCCTTGTGTTTTAATAGTATAGATTATTTTAACCAACTTACCATATAAATTTTCTATTTCGAATATTCAAAATAGTTTAGCCATTTCTGAAAGTGATAACTTAGCTATAATATTAGCATTTGTCATTGAAAAGTGACTGGATTTTTAAAAATTGTATATTTGATTGTTTTGCATTCAATTGAAATATTTTTATAGAAAATTTAAATAGTGAGTCAGTATAAGAAATATTATGAGGTATGGATTAATTAGTTTTTTTTTGCAATATATGATTTATTGTATTCATTATTAATAGAAATAGATTTTTAAAAAATTATATAGTTGTTTCTATAATATCATATGACTTTATAATTTAATATATAAAATCTATAAAATATAATTTTCCATATTAGTTGTAAAATTTACTATATAAAATCTCAAAAATATAATTTATAATTCAATATATTCTAAAATCTCTAAAATATAATTTAATATATTAATTGTTTCTATAAATAAATTATGTTAATTCTTTTTTGTTTAAGATGTTTAATTGTTTTTTTGGTAACATAGATTAGATTATGTAATTCTAGGATTAGTTTCCTTTTAAAATTTTAATTAAATAAATGAAAATTAAAAAACCACCAACCTATCAAATTAAGATAGTTAATTTTAAAATTCGCTTATGAATGACACATAAGTAAAATCTACTTAAGTGACTTCTCTTTTAATATATATGAGGATATAAATCATACTAAAACTTCATAAACTAATTCATTTTCGTTAGTGATTAGTAAACATAATTTCATCAAGATAACTACAATAAAAATAGTAGCTAATGTTAAAAAAACATTTCACCGGACTCAATCATAATTTTAGTAAAATAATTTGTTAATACAAAATTTCATATTTTAGAAATAATTATTATTATATAACTATACACTTATTCATTATATTTTTTAGGAAAAGTTTTTTTAAAATGGATAAATTCTTATAAATATTATTATTCTCAAAATAATTATAAATTATATTTGTATATAAATAATAAGAAAAAAATTAATATAACTTTTTAAAAAAAAATAATATGAGCTCTCAAACTATATGTCCTAAATGGTCACTTGGGTGGCTTGTCCTCTGGGCCAACCTTAATGACGGTATACGTTTAGAACTTTAAATTGTTGGTTAGTTAGTTTCAAATTTTGAAATGATGGAAAATTAACACGAGACCTTAATTTTGTGTATTTTTTGTTCTGTGTAAAAATTTTGGGAATGAGGGAGGGGAAATAGTTCTTCATCCATTTTTTGCTTACATAACTATAACTTAGATTCAGATAGATCAGTCACTTTTAGTTTTAGATTAACTATCGATTAATTCTGTTTGGGGTTCTATAATCAAACTATATTTGGTTATCTCAAGTTGGTGTATAAATAATCTAAAATGAACCCCAAAGAATTTTTGAATCTCCAACTATAGTTGTTGGAGTACCATTTTTATCATTTCATCGTTTGTATCAAACTTTAAATCTTTTTTATGTTTAACTCAAATTTAAAAATCTAGCAGCAACTAGTTCTGGGTTCTATAAATTTTATTGATATTAAAGGTTCAAGGAATAATTTTTTTAAAATATTATGAAAGACTGCAGAAACTATGATTATCAGATTTAGAGTATTTCTTCGTATTAATTTAGAATAATTTATCATTTTAATTTTTTTTGTGGAGGACCTTCTTTACAAGGAAAGTCACAAATACAAGCACCACCATCATAGCGGTAATCACAGTGAGCCTCTGCACCTTTTCCATAAGCACTGCATTTTATTCCACATATATGACAATCGCCAAGACTCGCCTCGCATCCCATACTATCCTCGACTACAATAAATAAAACAAGGTTTATGTTTAAATAATGAAAAATAAGATTTAGGAGATATTAACACAGTAAAATACAAAAGATATATATATATTTACAAATGAATAAAGCAAAAAAAAAAGTAGAATAAGGCTAGCATCTTTGAATATTTGCTCTTTCTCAAAAACAAAAAAAAATCTTTCAATATTGCTATGAGTAAACTATAAAAGACTGCATATATCTTTTTCAGATTATGTATATTCAAAGCATGTTCCAGTAAATAAGTCTGATACAACTTAAATATTGTGACGTTGAATACACTTTTTGAGGAAAAGTTAAGATGAACGCATACCTAAAGCAAACATTACAAAGAAGATGATAGGGAGAACAACTGAGAAAATTGCTTTAGCCATATTTATATATTTGTATTCTAGATTTAGGTACTTGTTTAATGAATACTGAAAGACTATAAGTTTCAAGAGACACTAAAGAGGGATTTATAGGATGCTGAGTTGACCGTTATAATACATTTAATAATTAAATATTATATTTTTGGAAAGTTGACTGTAATTATGATAATAACATATAAATCGGAATAGATTTTATTCTATTTCACCAAAGAGTTACTTAACTTAATTATTATTTATTTAGTTGTCACATATGTACTAGTGTTTGGCAGATTTGTTTCCTTTTGACTATGTAGCTTACTACGCAGATGTGTGTTTTCACTTATATATATATATATATATATATATATATATATATATATATATATATATATATATATATATATATATATATTTATATATTAATTTTATATTTTATTCTTTATTTTGTGTTCTTTTATATATTGTAATATATATATATATGTATATTGAATAATTGAAACATGTGTAACTATTATATATACAATTAATTTAGCGATCACTTAAATAAAATAATCATATTAATGAAGCTTCACACTTATATGATTTTATGATCATTTGTATATTATTATAATAATAATTTTAAAATATTGATAACATCGTTTTTAATGTGATAGATTTAATATTTACAGTAATTTATCATTAAAAAAATTAAATTCAAAGTTTGCCGTTAAAGTATTAAGTTCTCAATACTTGTTCAATGAAATATTGGAATTAAATGTTTATGTATTTTTAAATGGTATATAGTTTAATTTAAAAATCACTAATGTATATATATATATATATATATTAAAATGGTATTACTTACTCATTAATTATATAACTGTTTGTATCGTGCTATAAGAAAGAAATTTAAAATATTAATCAAAAATATTATATGTAAAAATTTTAAATGTTTTATTAATTTATAGTCATTTACAAAAAATTCAAAATCTAACATATATCAAAAAATCTATTTTTTGTTATATAGTTAATGTTATTGTTTAATATATTTTCACAATATAAATTTAATAAAAAGAGTAGAAATTATACATTTTTGTATCAAATCTTTCATATTCAAATCATTAATTGTCATATATATATTATAACCATATTAGGTAATTTTGTAAATTTTATTAAGGAAATAATGAATAGCATTAATAATAGTTTTATGCTTAGTTTAATAAAAATATATGAGTCAATTGGCCCAATATCCTAAAATAATAATAATATTAGTTATCTGCCTTATCAATAAATTTATAGGTACCCAGACAACATAAAAAGACAATTAAGCCCTTGATGAATATCACATGAGATGGACAATCGACAAATGGGTGAATGGACAATCGACAAATGGGTGAATGGTGGAGGAGATTAGAAGAGATCGTCGGAAGAGGAGGAAGGAGGAGGAGGGGAGGAGGAGGAGGGGAGAAGGAGGAGGAAAAGGGGAGGGGAGGAGATCGGAGGAGAAAGATGAAAAGTATGAGAAAAGAAGAGAGGAGAGACAAGAGATAAGGGGTAATAATGGAATTAAAAAAATAGTGGCTAGGGTATACAACTAATATTGCGAGTAGTGGTGTGTATGCACTGCAATTTCTCAAAATATATTATATGTTTATATGTACCAACATTTTTCTCTAGTAAATTTGAGAAGCACTCTCATGATGACACGTGGCTACCAAAACATGTTGTAATGCTTCTCAATTAATATATAGGGGATTTGACTCACTTTGTTGGGAAATTTACCAAATATGACTCAAAACTTGGTTTTAAATACAAAAGTAAACCAAAACTTGAATCAAATGCAAAAGTAACCTAAAAGACTATTGAAATTACAATCAGCCTCTTGTGAACAAACAAAAAAGCTGATTTTTTTTACGTTTCTAACCCCCACAACTATTATGTCCAGATGACTTTCAATTAAGTCGTCCAGACTTAGTTGAAAGTCGTCTGGTATAGTTATTTAAAAAATTTGTAAAAAAAATGTTGATAAGTGAAAAATTGAAATCCTGTAATTAACATATGTTTTAAGAGATATAAATTAAGATATAACAAAATTTAATTGTTTTCGACATAGATGAGTGAAAGTAGTGAGTCATGATATTCTTTGGTTTAGGTTTTACCAACATATGTTGTAGTATTGTATGTGTTTCTTAGGGTTAGATTTTCGAAAACATAAATATATTTTTTGAAAAAATTAAAATTTACCAAAGTGTGTTTATTTCTGTGTATAGTAAACATTATTTAAGTATAATTTGATTTTATAACGTGGTTAGTTAGTTAACTTAGTCAATTTAGTTTAGGGTTTAGGGTTTAGGGTCTGGACGACTTACTATTAAGTCGTCTGATGTATAGTATTCAACAGACGACTTACTAATAAGTCGTTAAAAACGTACCGAACCTTTGATTTTACCAATTTACTATTAAACCTAACCGGATTTTTTACAGGACATATATAAGATGTTTTTTTCACTCACCTTTTTGCGAAATTCAGAAAACCCTAACTCCGTTTCTCTCAAAGGTGATTTCAAAGGCGATTTCCGTCAAATCTCTCTAATCCATCGTTCTCACCGCCGGCTATCTCTCCGCAGTTATCACCGTCGTTATCACCACCGTTCTCAGCGCTGCTTCCTCTATTTCAGATCTGAGAGGAAACCCTAACGCCGTTTCTCTGTAAACTCTAGCGCCGTTTCTCGTAGAGGCGTTTCGTTGAACTCCGCTGCCGGTAAGTTATATCTAAAGAAGAACATAAAACATCGTGCTCACCGTCGTTCTCCTCGAGCTTCTTTTTTCACGTCTATAACCGCTGTGTCGAAGGCGACTATATCTTCTCTGAATTTTCAGGTCGGCTTTAAAATGTTCTAATGGAAGTCTTGGAAGACTTGCCAGACGACTTAATTATAATTAAAATGTTATACTGGATGGTTGTGTGTTTGAGATGGTTTTCTATGATTGTTTTGCAGGAAAACAATGGATATTCCAGAACTCCCTCGTAGGATACATGCAGTAGGGGAAGATCCCCCCGCATTGAATAGCATTTCGTATCAACCGTGTACGAAGTTGTATACTGCTTTAAGGAAGGCTCTTCATAATGAGGAATACGAAGAGCTGAAGAAGTCTAAGTTGGGAGTTTTCATGAAGTTTCAAGAGCTGAAATTTGGTTGGGCTTCAAGGCTGGTTCACTAAATGCTCAGTTTCTAGCTCGACATAAAGAAGAAGTATGAGCTGTGGAGTCTCGTTGGTCCACAACCTTTGAGGTTTTCACTGTTAGAGTTTGAATACATAACTGGTCTAAACTGCGAGTACATCGAGGACCTTGAGAGACCAAAATGTTCTGTTGCAAAGGAGTTGGCTTCTTTCTGGGAGTTGTTGGGAGTTCATGTCGAAGCTGGGCCAACTACTCAACAGATAATAGCAGCATTTGAGAGATGTGAACGGTGGTCTCAGGATGATCGCAAGCGGCTCGGGTACCTTGCCATCTTCACTGGATACATTGAAGGGAGAAAGTTTTCAACATCTACACGAGTTAGTCTGGCAAGGCTAGTAATGGATCTAGAACGGTTTGAGAATTATCCATGGGAGAGAGTCGCGTTTAAGGTGCTTATGGACTTTGTGAAGGGAAAATATATATCGGGTTGTTACACCATTGATGGGTTTATACAAGCTCTCCAGGTCTGGGTGTACACAGCTCTGCCGGAATTGCGTGCTAATTATGGTAATCCCATACCAAACAAACCGTCTCCACCGATACTAGCTTACAAGGGTGGCAAAGGACAAAGATGCTTTAAAGAAGCTATTGAAAGACATGTATTTACTTCAATCCAAAAGACTTTTTGAAAACTTATGCTTAACTTGTCAGGATAATCTTCCAACAGGACAACTTAGTAGAGGACTTATAATTAAGTCGTCTGGAAAGTCTTCCAGCTAGATGACTTAGTAGAGGACTTATAATTAAATAGTCCGGGAAGACTACCCAGACGACTTAATAACAAGTAGTCTGCTAAGTCATCTAGCTGGAAGACTTTCCCAGACGACTTATGATTAAGTCGTCTGCTAAGTCGTCCAGTTGGAATACTTTCCAAAAGACTTAATCATAAGTTTTGAAAAGTCTTTTCTTTCCAACTTTCTTAATCCGTCTAATATCTAAGTTTATATCTTCTATTTACTGCAGACTAGGGTGATGAACTTTATTGAAAAGAACATTGGTGAAATGTTTCCAAAATGGGACTCTGAAGCTAAGGACCCAGCTGCGGAGAACATAATTAAACTCATGTATAATCAGAGACCATGGAAGTGGACCATGGATTGCTGGGAAGTCACCGGTACTTGGATTAATACAAATCCGGCAGCGAAGAAAGCGATAGTTCTGGTTAAGGAAGACGAAGACAGTCCAAGACCTCTTAAGAAAGTTCGTAAAGAGCATAGTGAATAGCTACCTGCAGAGGAAGAGGTAGAGGAAGAGGTTCTTGCAGAGACTCGTCAAGAGGTGAGTACCACTGTTGGTGGGCTGACCAAAGAGGATATTGAAGAAAATTGTGAAGGATTTTTTGAAGGATTGTTTGAAGGATTCTGTGAAGGATTGTTTGAAGGATTGTTTGAAGGATTGTGTGAAGGATTCTTTGAAGGACGCACTCGATGCCTTGAGTCAAGGGTTTGGGACGTCCCTTACGGAGATCAAGTATATTTCTGAAAGGTTGGAAGCTGTGGAGAAGATCGTTGGTATCACCAAAAAAGGGAAAGGGGCATCATCTCAAAACAGTAGCTCTCCCAAACCTAAAACGCAAGAACCCGGGGTTAGTAAAGCATCCTCTCGCAACAAGAAATTGACTAGACAAAGTTTTAAGCATAAGAACTGAAAGTTGGATCGTTGGTTAATATTGCAAAGTGAAAGTGTTAATCGGGCGAACGCGGGAAGGAAGAGCTTGCTGGGGGGTAAAGCAACAGATTTTTCCGCAGGTGCTACTTCCTCGAAAGAGCTGAGTATAGTTCCGAGCCAGGATGGGGAAAAC